ATAAGGCATAATAGTTCAAAAACCATAATTCATACTACTTTCTTTTTTTATTCAGTATATTTTGAAAAATTGGGCTAGTTATCTGAAGTGATTATCATCTTACTATTTCTGATGATAACTTACTGGATCAAGTCAGACTTGAATCTTTTTGGTAGAAAAAAGGTGTGTCCACACTACAGGATTAATAAGGGATGTTGCAAATCAAAACTGATATGGTTTATCAGAGCTGGATGGGAGGGAAGACTTTAAAGTAGCAATAGGTGTGGCAGGAAGTTCCACAGGACAGGTGCATTTAGTGCAACAAACACCATATATTATTAAATTATATTATATCATGCCGTATGAATTCCTTATTCTTTAATACTGCTAATCCTGCTGTAATGTTTTCTGCTATATTTTTGTTTTATAATTATTTCAGCCTATCAGTAGGAGATAAATAAATTATCTACTTCTGGTAGATTGAGGATTTTTTTTTAATCATAAGAATCTTTTTTTTCTTTTGCTAAACTGACTTGCTCTATACATGGGGCTCCCTATGAGGAGCATCCGGAGGCTTCAACTGGTCCAGAATGCGGCCGCGCGGGCGGTGTTGGGAGCGACGCGTCGCTCCCATGTAACGCCGCTGCTGCGCTAGCTGCACTGGTTGCCAGTGGCCTTCCGGGTACGCTTTAAGGTGTTAGTTACCACCTTTAAAGCGCTCCATGGCATCGGACCTGGATACCTCCGAGACCGCCTTCTGCCACAGATTCCCTCCCACAGACCGGTACGCTCCCACAGAGCGGGCCTCCTCAGGGTGCCGTCGGCCAAGCAATGTCGGCTGGCGACCCCCAGGGGGAGGGCCTTCTCTGTGGGTGCCCCCACCCTCTGGAACGAACTACCCCCCGAGATCCGGACGATTCCGGATCTCCTAACCTTCCGCCGCGCCCTCAAGACATGGCTTTTTCAGCAAGCGGGCCTGACCTAGGGTGAATTTTTAAATAGGGACGATTTTAATGATTTTAATAAGACACAGCTATAAATATTTGGTTTTTAATTGGCTTTTACAGGGGAAATGTTTTGTATTGTTTTTAATATGCTGTGAGCCGCCCTGAGTCCCATGGGGAGAAGGGCGGCATATAAGTTAAAAATAAAAGTAAAAAAAAAAAAAAGTGTTATCAGGTTTCTTCCCATTCAAAATAGTACAGTATCAGAAACCTGTATGTTTATAAAAGAGGAAAGAGATCAAAGTTGGCTCTGCCACCATCATACCTAATTTAAGCACAATGTCCCAACCTTTATGGTACCTTAATGCCAATATATGGAACACTTTGCTTGCAGACTGAACAAAACATTAGAACTAACATTCACCTACACTTGCGGCATATTTTTCATGCAGAAGGAATTTTGACGGCTGCTAAAATTGTATGATTAAGATGAAGTGCAAAGATAATATATCTGGTCTAAAAAAAAAAATGCATCCACCTCATTGTAATCTGCTGTGAAGAGTATTTACAAAGCTGTGGGCTGGCCCAAGCTTTTTAGATAGCATCCCTGTATAGAACTGAAAAAGCACTGACAATCCTCTGAGAATGCAACAAACACTTAAGTGCTTAAGGTATTTCTAGCCCTACGTAGGAATGCACTGTCACTTAACAAATAATCCATAACTACTAAAATCAGCTGGGAATTTGCCACTGTATATTAATGGGATATGCTTTGCACTCATACTGAATTCAAAGTGACCACAGGCTTTCAGTCAGAAACTGAATATCAAGATGTATACTGTGCTAAGCTACTTAAATATCCCTCATTCTCTTTATAAGATGCATGTAAGCAGAAGCTGGACAACTACAGTATCTATTGTGGATGGTTTAATTTGTTTACATCACTGAACAGACCCGTTTGGTGTCTCCTCCAACGTTATGATTTTATTCTGCTGCTAGAAGTAGATGATATAAATCTTCATGGCTGTGTTGACTTGTGAAATTATTATTAACTTTACATGTTCTGCATTTTTAATGGGCATTCAACCAATGTACATGGTTCCCTCTCACCCTCATTGTTATCCTTACAACAAATGTATGATTAGGCTGAGAGACAGAGACTGCAAAAAAAACCCCAACCCCTCATACATATAACAGCCACAAGTGTTCATACAACAAACACCTGCTTGGAAGCAGAGGTAACATCTACTACAAGAACATATGTGGGGGAATTAGAACTAGAATAAGAGGAGGAGAAGCAAGAAGAATAGGAAGAGTTTATCTGTTCCAGAACTGAGAATAACTTTACTGAATGAATAACAATCAGAGAGAATCAGGGTAATATATGAAATAACCCTATGTAAGGGGTAGTCAACCTTGGCTCTTTTATGACTCGTGGACTTCAATTCCCAGAATTCCTGAGCCAGCTTAGCTGGGAGTTGAAGTCCACGAGTCATAAAAGAGCCAAGGTTGACTACCCCTGCCCTATGTTTAACCATTTTATTTGGACTCCATAACTGAGCTGAGAGGAGTATACACTCTACATCGTGTATGGATGTGTAATTCATAATCTCTGTAACAACATAATTGCTTCTTTTCTTTTGTAGAAAGGGTAGAGTCATGTACATCTCCTGGATATGCCTCTGAAATTTAGCAGCAAGTCAGTTGAATTTTGATGGCATGATTTCAGAATGTGTTGAGAAGACTAGGAAGTATAACGTTAACCTGAGATCAGCTTACCACTTAAAGGCTTCGGCACCCAATTCCCATTTTAATCCCCTCTCCAAAACTTTAAAAATTGACTTTAAAAAGTTACCCCTGCCCCTTTCAAAGCATCACTAGATAACCTTCTGCAACCCTCCAGAAGATCAAGATAAGTCTGCATCCTCCCATTAATCTTTCCTGTTTGGCCATAGTAGGCTTAATGCTAATACAGTAATAAATTCGGTGCTAGTTCATTGTTCCTACCTTTTTGTTTGTAAATGTTTCAAACGATGATTTTATGCCACCTATAATCTATTATCTTGATTACAATTTAATATATTTTCAAAACACTGAAATCAAACGCCTATCATCACTGTTTTAATGATGATTAAATTCAAGCCTATAATTCTGAAAACAGATCTGCAAAGTGCTTTTTACAGTTTAAATTAACTTCTATTCAGATCGAGATGAGTTTGGCTTTAGAGCCCATTTGATCACTTTTAAACAATTTTTCCCTTAAAGGCATGCACATCTAACAGGGGGGAAAAAAACCATGAGAAAAAGTTAAATGCACTTTTCAGCATCATGTGTTAAATACCTAAATGGTCTTTGATGGAGCTGAAATGTTTTCAATGAATACCTCTTCGGGATACAGCTGAGAAATATGTGCGTTGTCCTTGCATATTTCCCTTTTTCTTTCCTCATACTTTACTCCTTTCTGGTGTACTAGCTTACTTGTTTTTAAAACCACGGCGACCTTTTTACCATGGCAAAGACAATAATTAAGCTACTGCCTGAATTCCTGTGCATACAATGGCCTCGCAGGTTGGAAGCAAAACATTTGCAGCCCTCCTAGCAACCTGGAGCCCAGACAACAGGTCCAGTGCTACCAGTCTGTCACTCCCTCTGTGACATGGTAACAGCACAGCCTGTGATTCAGGAGAATTCCACAGGGTGCTGTGCTGCCATCTATAAAGCCACTGACGCTTTAAATATAAATTAGCAAGCAAACTATAGCTCCCACCAGCAAGTTTCCCCTCCCCATCTTTTGCTGTATTGATTAGGCACAAAACAAAGTGTCAGGCAATTTTTAGAAGAAGAAAAAAAACCAAGTAAAGTGAAGTGAAGCAAACTTGGGACAACTTTAATCGGGCGAAATATCGTTGCATTTTTTTTCCCCCTAACAAGATCATCGAAAAGGACATTTTAATCTCTTAGTATGGGAAGTTGTTACAAATTGTACTTAAGTTATAATAATAATAATAATAATAATAATAATAATAATAATAATAATAATAATAATAATAATAATAATAATAATAATAATAATAATAATAATAATAGTAAAGTTGGAAGGGACCTTGAAGATCATCTAGTCCAACCCCCTGCTCAGGCAGGAAACCCTATACCATTTCGGACAAATGGCTGTCCAGTCTCTTCTTAAAAACTTCCAGTGTTGGAGCATTCACCACTTCTGGAGGCAGGTTGTTCCACTGGTTAATTGTTCTCACTGTCAAGAAGTTTCTCCTTAGTTCTAAGTTGCTTCTCTCCTTGATTAGTTTCCATCCGTTGCTTCTTGTCCTGCCTTCAGGCGCTTTGGAGAATAGCTTGACTCCCTCTTCTTTGGGGCAGCCCCTGAGATATTGGCACACTGCTATCATGTCCCCCCTCGTCCTTCTCTTCATTAAACTAGACATACCCAATTCCAGCAACCGTTCCTTATATGTTTTAGCCTTCAGTCCCCTAATCATCTTTGTTGCTCTTCTCTGTACTCTTTCTAAAGTCTCAACATCTTTTTTACATTGCGGTGACCAAAACTGGATGCAGTATTCCAAGTTGATAAGGACAAAGTAAGATTCCTGTTTTTTAGTCGAACCGCCTTCTTCGTCCGCCGTGGGGAGATAATTCATTTATTTCATATCAATCCCGTCTTGGTTCTGGGAGTTCAAAATGGTGCAAAAAAAAAAAAATAGTTAGGTGTGATTTCATGCATGCAACACCAGCTTTGAAATATGTTGGGCGCATCCTCACTAGCTCCATACTCAACTGAAACCCTTCAACTGGGTCACCCCTTTCATTAGTAATGTTGAGGCCACAATGCAACTCATAAAAGGGTCAAGTTTGAAGTCCCCTGGATCAGGACTTTACCTTGGCTGTGAATTTGCTGCTCATGGATGGTTTGTTTCAGGTAGCAATAGCTGTGAATGCGAACCCTGTTTCCTTTTTTCTGCCCGCCTATTCATATTCTTCTAAACAAAATCTACACAATATGTACGTTTATGAAATCTTGGAAAAGAGCTGGTTCCATTTAACACAATTTATCTCTTTTCAGGGTGCTGATTTGAAGACGGGGAACATGCAAGGTCATGTATTAGCAGGTAAGCAGGAGCCCTCAATACTTCCTAAGAACTTCTGTGTATCGTTCGGTATCTGTTGCAGAGGCCTCTATAGTTGTATAGGAAGTATGGATCCCTGTTCATGTGTGTGATTGTGTGATCTTGATTGCCTGCAAGTCAGTGAAGGCCAGATCCACTCAAAGCACATCAAGATGAATCCCATTGCTCACTGTCATTCAACAGCTAGATTTTTTTTGGGTCTTTTAAGAAACAGGGAAATTGTAAAACTATTCTCTTACATAGGAATGATCCCAAAACACCTCATTTTCCCCCACCTGAATCTTTTTTTTAAAGCATCAGGTAATTGTGATGCTGCTGCAAATTATTTTAGTCTCTTGTGCAACCTAACTGAAGTTCATGCTGAGGTGTGACACCACCAGCACAAAAGCCATTCCCAAATTCCACCTCTTTCAACTGATTTCATGAAAGAGCATCTCCTATAGAAAAGGAAGTATTTATCTCCACATGGTAACAGATTGGAAAGAGACACTTACGCATTTCACAGGATTTATAATGTCCAAAAAGCTACTTCTCCAATAGAAATGAAGTAGGTATGGTCATTAGAGCAATTTCCATATAAAAACACTGCTGCAGGCAGGCAGGAGATGGGGAAACCCCATTTCTATGTTTGATAAATAAACATTAAACTATATTCTGGCTATTTGTACTGAAGGATGGGTGTGTTTGCTCTGTTCTTGATGTAGTGTGACTGGGAATGTGCTGGATGCACACTAACCTGGAAATTACCCGCAGTAATTTTCCAACAAAACCCATCTATTTTACATAGCCAATGTCTGCCCTGATTTTCAATAATACATTTAAAAAACTCCTAAGTATGAATAACAGTATTTTGCATATTTTCCCCTCATTATACTTTTCTGTCTGCTTCTGCTTTCTTTACCTTACATTACAAATACCTTAGGAATTTGTTTTGCTTTTAAAAATGCAGGTAACATTCAGTAAGGTAAACATCTAACTCAATATTAGAGCAATATCAAGTATTAAACAATATATGATCATTTCAAATTAAAAAAGAAAAACTATTGTTGAATAAATAACAAAATCTGTGTAAAAGGTAAACATGCTGATTAGTAGATTGCCTTTTCAAAAATGTCTTGTATGTAATCCTTCATATAAAACTTTTTCCAATTTTTTCAAAATAATTCTCTTAATAATTCCTCATGCCTGATTCTTCCATAAAGATAAACATTAGTGAACCTCAGTATCAAAATCTAATCTACAACCCAAAAGGTCCAAATATGTCTAGCTCTTTTCAATCCCAGAAATAAAAAAATCCTTTTTATTATGCATTGATCCATGTAATTGCCAAGATCTTTGTGGAAATAAGTAATCTTTCTAACGAGGCCCACGGGTATTGGTAGCATACAAAATTTTCATTCCACATAAATATAGCCAATAAGAAGGAAGTCCAGTGATACATTTGAAAATTTGTGAAGTAAAATTAAAACCACCACCCTCATCAAAAGATAATCTCAATTTAGCCATAGATGCAATACATTGCAGAGTAAAATACAAATACTGTGCCTATTATGGCCACTGCTAATAAAGGGACTGGAAAAAACTCAAGAGGCATGGTCTGTATATTTGTCCTAATTTGCTTGAACAGAGTGCACCATCTAAATTTACATCTTGCTTAATGTAAAAACAGCCTGGTTTTTCCAGCTAGCAAGGAACTTGTACACTTTGCCTAACCATGGAGATTGGTCTGAGTAAAACAAGTGGATTTTGTATTGACGTAAAGGATTGGAGGTTCAGCCATTGTTTATTTGCTTGTTCATGCCATCAGTCCTTAAGTGAGTCTTAAGTGCAGTTCAGCTCCAAATCTGATTTGAAGGGCTGCAACTTTCTCCTGTATTTCATCAAGACTGTAACTAAATGTAGATTCAAAGCTTAAACATCAGGGGTTTTTTTTTTCTTCCCTACTCCCACCCCCATTTTTAAAGTATTTTCCATCTGGTCCAAGAAAACAAAAAAAACCCAAGAAACTTTGAAAGCTTGCACTGTATTTTATGAACTTGTTTTGCCTATTCAAAACAGATTTGCTGATGGCATTTTATAATGTAGTAGCAATAGATTCTGAGCTTGTTTAAACAAGCAGGGTGTTGAATTTTAATAAATATGTCCCTTCTTAAGGTAGCATAACAAAATTCTGCAAGTTTTTACTCTATTTTTTTAAATTCAACTTTAGAAGATGCTGCCTTAGCTTTCAAAAACACTACTGCATAGATACCATTGACCTCCTTGTAAAAATGAGACCCCAATAAACTGAGAACCAACCTATGGGTTCTCTGAAAGATGGCAGAGAGAATAGCTTTGAAATGTCCTGTGCAGAATAGTATGGTTAGGCTCTGTGTGACAGTTCAGGTTCCAAGATTTCCAGAGAGGGAAGATAATAACAGGAAAGATTCCTAGGACTACAGGCTCAGAAAATCCAGGAAATTTCAGCGTCGGACCAGCAAATCAGAAGAATCATTTCACACTCAAGCTGGACAGCAGATTGTGACTTCTTCTTTATCTTACACAAAAAAAGAGCCATCATTATGCAATAGGTATACTTTTCTATCACAGAAAAAGCAAAGTATTTCCTACTCTTACCTCCTATAATCTTCCGCATCTAATTCTGCTTCCCAAAGACTATTTTTTTCTAAGTTCACACACATAAAGTGAAAAGCAGAAAGGTGGTTTCTACATTAAAGAGAAACCCAATCTGGAATGAAGGAGGAATTTCCTGAGAGTGAGAACAGTTAATCAGTGAAATAGCTTGTCTCCTGGAATTGTGGATGCTCCCTCATTGGAGGTTTTCAAGAAAGTATTGCACAACCATTTATCCTGGATGGTATAGGATCTACTGCCATGGCAAGGGGTTGGTCTAGACCAGGGGTAGGCAACCTTGGCTCTTTTATGACTGGTGGACTTCAACTCCCAGAATTCCTGAGCCAGCATGCTCAGCTTGGAAACCTCTCCCTTTCCCCTCAGCGTGGCTGGCTCAGGAATTCTGGGAGTTGAAGTCCACCAGTCATAAAAGAGCCAAGGTTGCCTACCCCTGGTATAGAAGAACTCCAAGGTCCCTTCCAATCCTGTTACTCTGTAAAGTAGACATAGATTATACTTGAGGTCCTCAAAACGTCCAGGTAATAATGAGTCCATCAATGCATTCTTTGATGTTTAGTGCCTCCTGCTTATTCATACTGCAATGCGAGATAGCATATCCTTAACCTTCAACAATATCTTTGGGTCTCATATGAGCCCCAGATAAACTCTTAGAAAATACGATTTAAACTGGCCATAGCCTCCTGCTTTGTTTTCTGCTGCATGGATACGGTGTGATAGGCCATATCCATCATGTCAACCATTTTATTGTGGGAGTGCTGAAAATATATTCTTAAAATTCCAGTGTCACTGGCCCCACCTGCAAGGCTTTTACATCAGCTGGTGGATTTGCAGGACTGGACAATCATAAGAAAGCTAAGGTTTTTTGGCTCATAAAATTTTGAAGTGAAAAAAGTGCATCAGGAAGTGAATCTGTGATAGTTACATTCGAGAAGAAAGAGTACCACCTCCCACCCACCCCTTTTGATTAGGCTGTGAAGAATTTTATCTCTTCAATTTCTTTACATCATCTTGTCTTCTTGAATCCAATCTGAAATGCCCTTTGAGCTAAGATTGGGGTTTTAAACCATTAAGGAGCATCTGCATACATAATAGCTCTGCTTGATATTTGATTCTTTTTTTTCACAACACAGAGGGAGGGGAAGCCATCAACCCACTGGTGAGGCATTAAAGATTGACAGCAAGTAATACCCTGATTTCATTTACATCTGAGCTCTTCAGAAATTAAGTGTAGTTTCCTCTTGCTGGTTCTTATGGCAACCTATGCAATTGATAGAGCATATGGAAGCTAAACTAGCTAGAAATGTTGAGATGATTGAAGTTGGAACTTGACGGGGAGGTCTGGATTCCTGCTTTCTAACTAACATCTTGTCAGGCAGGAATGTATGTTTTAAGCCCCTGTCATGGTCAAATGGATGCTATCAGAGGGAAGCTATTGTATAGTTTGCCAGTTCTGCAAAAACAGAAAATAGTGCTTTTATGAACCCTACAGCAACCAGTTGCTATCCTAAACTCAAACATTATGGTAGTGTTGTGACTTTATCTTTAATTAGTTACAGGCTTAGAAGATCCAATTCCCAATACCCATCCAGCCATGGATCTTACCAAGTTTAGGCCAATCACTCTCTCTCAGCTTACTCTACTCTACAGGGATGTTATGAGAAAGGACCTGGGTCAAAAGTATGATAAAAATGTAAAAAATAATCAATGCTGGGGAAAAATAAATATTTGACATATCTTATCCTGCTCTTTCAAGGAAATTTGTTAGCTTAATGAAAAGTATTAACTTAATTTTTTTTTCCTCATCTAAATTGTTAGTGGAGCACTTTTAAGATTTGTGTTATCTATAATAAAAACTCATCAGTTAATTTAATATTTAAGTATATCAATAGCTTAGTAGCTTCATACAGTATTTCCATATCCTATGTTTGGGTATCTTATCAGCTTAGCAGTTTTTTTAGTTTTAATTCTTTGGTATTCTAGTAGCTGCATTTATATCCTATTTTAATTTTATCTTTCTTAATTTGTACAATCTATTTAGAATGTTTCCTTTTATCTTCTTATGAATCTTTAAAATGTTATGAACTTATAAGAGTTAATAATAAAAATAATAAAAGGTACAATTAATATAGCTACTGGCTGTGTTCATGGGCTAAAATTGAACTAGTTGGTATTATATGGATCGCAAACGGGTGTATGGCTCATTGAGTTGAGGTTGGTAAAATGAGGACCGAGATTGTTAGGGGCAAGATGCTGACTTTGTAAACAGCTTAGAGAGAACTAACAAGCACTGTGAAGTGGTATATAAATCTAAGTGCTGTTGCTATCTGAATCCACCCAGCATAGTTAATTCCATAAACCATGATTTCTTTAACCATATATCAATGTACTGTACAAAAAAGCCACTCTCCTGATGCAGTCAGAGGATATGTTTGCATGACATTTTTATTCACACAACACACTAGACCAAAATGTGTAGATAGTTAATTGGCCATTCAGTCTCTTTTGCTAATAGTCATTGCCTCCTAGTAATAAGTAATCATTTTCCTTTTTAAAAGCCGTCTCTATATAATGCAGCACTATTCACAAAGGTCAGACTCATGTAACTCTATGATATATGGATAGCTTTAAACGTTAGCATTTCTATAGCTGTATTCAAATCATATTGAGGCACAAATTGGCAACCACATTATAACCTAGGATGAAATACAAACTCAGCCTATATGATTAGCTGAATGCTGAGTATATTGGATTACTGGGTTAATTAATTAAACCAGATTACATTCCCCAGGGAGAAATTAATGTAAAAATGGCCTATTTTTCCCAATATATTTTTCTCTCTAATCCAATTGAAGAGAAGCAAGATGGGGAAAAAATATTCATTTCTCACCTCCAAATTATTCTTTTGCAAGGCTACTTTGGCCCAAAGTTGAAACTTGGAGAGTTCGGGTTAGTAATGAAAAAATGATGGGAAGAAAGATATTAAAATAATTCCCCACAGGTCAGAGAATTATGGTGATAAGAACATCAATGCATTAATTATCTGCTTTTTCATTAAAGGACAGTGTTTAAGGTGGCTAACAAGAGTAAAATAAAAGGCCAACACAAATGAAAACATTATTGAAGCATCATTAAAACAGAGGATTGCACTTATACAGGTCAGCAGCCAACCCACTACACACACCCAAGGTTTGCCTGGAATTCTTCAGTTGGGGTCTCAATCCAACGTAACTAAGTTACAGTATTCTTTATTCGTTTATTTAGATTCACATTTATACCTTCCCCTCCACAATTACATATAGACTTTCAACATTTAAAACAATAAAAATTAAAAATACAAAATCAAGAGTCAGAAAATGTCATACTATTGATTATATATATTTCTGGATCAGGATCAGGGATGTCGTGTGCAAGATATAATGTTGTGAAGATTGTTCTCCTTCTGGGGCCAGTTCCAGTCAGTATTGGTAGGAGATAAAGGATCTTGTGAGTTGTACTGCCTTATAGGTTTCAGATTGCAATTCAAGACAATGATTATCACCTATAAAACCTAGCACGGCTCAGCTGGGTTAGTTGTGAGACTACCTATCTCCAATTATTATCTGCCTCTACTACAAGAGCTGATAGGTTGACACTCCAGGTCCTCTCTGTGTAAGAATGCCATCAGTGGGATCCAGAAAACATCCTTTTTTTGTGTGTCCTGGTGCCTGCTTTTTGACAAAGCATGTCCCACCCTCTCCTGCCTCCCAAGATTCTGGTGACCCAATCCAATCAGCCCTCCTTAAGTTTTTAAAACTTGGGTTTTCCCCTGTGAACTGGGTTAGGGCACTGAGAATCCTTCACTTATAATTTAGAATACGTCATGTTTTTCAATCTCGTTTTACTATTTATTATTTAGCCTGTTTTTATCGCATTGTGTGTTTTGCCTTTATTGTTTATCTTGTTTTGTTTTTAATCCTATATTAGCCACACAGAATCCCATATTGTGAGTTATTTTATTGCAAGAAATATCATGTGAGCATGATAGCGAGAGGCAGACAAACTGGAATAAGTCTAAAATTAGGTAGTGCTTTGGGGCTTGCGTGTCATCCATCTGGAAGATGGGTTAGGAGAGGTAACAAGAGGTGGATTTGGAAAGAAAAGGAACTAATCTAAGCTTGAGTGGTTGGGGAAACCAGGTGAGTTTAAAGGGAGTTTCTTTCCAACAAAGACAAGACAAGCACATTCTCGCAACTTGATGGCAAACAGCCAGATAAAGAGAAAGGGTGGCAACGTGTTCAGAGATTTACACACACACCAGGTGCTCTAAAGAAAGATTGAAATCTATACCATCAATCCTCATTTGCTTCCATCATTATATTCCTTATTAGGAACGTTTAATAATGCCTCTCTAAATAGGGATCGCAGTTGAAGAAAATAAAGAATTCTAGTCCCTACGTCTGGTGTAGTGTATAAATGCAAACAAACTAAGAATTATAGAGCTGTAAAAAAAAAATATCCCTCTGAGAAATAGAAGAAAAAAAAAAGTCTCAGCAAAACTATAAGTCAAAGAGGCCCGGTATAGATAAATTCAACAAATAAAATGGTTATTAAGAAAAAAACAATAGGCTCATTCCTTTTCCAAAGTGGCTGTGTCTCGATCTTAGATAAATGTTTTAAGGGGGCGTATACGCACATATACAACCAGCATTTTATTTTACTTTTATTTCTGGTATCCAGACTACCTCCGGCCCACACCACCCCCCGAAAGTGGTTACCACCGCTACCAGTTCCTCCTCTATGAACAACCAGCTCGTGAAGCGGTATCCTTGAATCCAGATGAAATTGCATCTTCCGGTGAGAAACTCCTTTGCCGGTTTGGCAGTTCAAAGGTGTCCTTAGTTCTTTTGGGTTGATTTTTTTTTTCCAGTCTGCTTCAGCGTAGTTAGAATTCCCCATAGGTATCTGTTTGTGAATATGATGAAAAATGCCCCAGCAGGGGGCATGGCTTTGCTTCAAGCAGGATGGATATTTACTTGACAGTGTGGGAAATATTTGTTGCTGCTGCTATTACCAAAGTAAATTCGCATGTCGACTCTGTAAAGGTGACCAAGCAATCATAGAGTTGGATGAGTCTCAGAAACAAACAGCTCAAGGTGCTTTGTTTAGAATATATAAAGCACACCGGTCCCCAGATAAGGTGGACCTATACAGATAGGGATGCTTTTCAGTGGAGAATGGTGATCAGAGCTGAGGTGGCAAAGCTTTGGTGGCCAGTGGGCATGTGCTGTTGTTGTTACGGTTATTCTTTGAGGGACACAATCAAAAGGGACACGATACTGTGACTGCATGAAATGAGTAAGGAAGGCCTGTATTTCTGTGGATGGCATGGGTAGAAGGTACAGAGATGCTAAGCTTCTTGGGTGTGCTAAGCCTAATTAAAGACTTAGCTGGTATTTTATTTTATTTTATTTTATTTTATTATTTTATTTTATTTTATTTTATTTTATTATTTTATTATTTTATTATTTTATTTTATTTTATTTAATTTATTTTATTTTATTTTATTTTATTTATTTTATTATTTTATTTTATTTTATTTTATTATTTTATTTTATTTTATTTTATTTTATTATTTTATTTTATTTTATTTTATTTATTTTATTTTATTTTTTTATTTTATTTTATTTTATTTTATTTTATTTTATTTTATTATTTTATTTTATTTTATTTTATTTTATTTTATTTTATTTTATTTTATTTTATTTTATTTTATTTTATTTTATTATTTTATTTTATATATGGTGGAAAAAGTTAGGAAATAACATTGCCAAAGGTTTGTTGCTATACTTCACTGGTAAAGTGTATTCAGGATTTGGGGACCTCAAAAGAAAAAGCATCCAAAATGTGTAGGGCAGCTGGCCGACTCTGCGAGTTGAAGTCCACATACGTTTGTTGCCAAGTTTGAGAAACACTACCCTAAAAGTAGGCATGCTGGCATACATGCTTATGTTTTAATGTCTGAGTAAAGGAGGAAAGGTGTTAGAAAAAATGAATGGACCTGAGGGATATGAACACCCTTCTTTGAATTCCTGGGAAAGGAAGGTGGAAAGGCATCAGGAAGATTGGTGGGTGGTTGAGTTGAGCAGCAGAGTTGAGGCTGGGAAGATCAAGGAACTGGGCAGGACTAGAAGGTAGAGGTTGAAAAGAGGAAGAGGGAGGGAAGCTTCTGAAATGATGGGATGTCCAGGCTAGCAGATATGTGCCAGATTCCTTTCCTCCACCCTAGCTACTGCCCCAGTCAGCACCAGATGATAGAGCAATGAGGAAACAAAAGGTTCTTTAAAGTTGGCACCAGAACTGACGTGATAAATTCAAGCAGACATGCTAAGCAGAAAGTATACCGCATGCCTGGCAATACAGAATCAAGTTTTCCAGCTCTGCTGATTCTGCTGTGTTCAGAATCAAAGCCTACCTGTGATTATTTGATTAAGTTTCCATAGTGTAGTAAGCCTTGGTTTCTTCCAGCCACAATTTTTTAAGCAGCCACATTGACTGCATTCAAGCTTCATATTAAACAAATAAAAAAATCACTCTTCCCCTTATGGCTTAGTATGACCGAGCCTTTGAGCATCAGTGGACTCAATCACTGGGTTATGTAGGAGAACACTATTAGTAATCCAGCTGCGTGGCAAACCTATTTAGGGTACATATTTACTTTCCATTTGCATGTCAATTGAGAATGGGTGGAAAAGAAACAGCCAGGCTGAAAGACAGATTATGGTGGCAGCAGATGTAAAGGTGAGGAAGATCTCAGATACTGTGAAACTGAGAATAGTCTTTGCTCCTGTATCCAAGAGCGTTAGGAGTTTCATTGGTGACACCTCAGAGCTATCATGCATGTCAGGCAATGAGATAAAAATCAGGAATAATAAGATTTGGCAACTGAGTTGCACAAACAGTCTTCAAACAATGTTAATAAAATAACAGCTCTGCTGAGCCAGGCACGTTCTTAGCATGGAGGGACAACTAGTCTCCCAGAGGTAAATGCTGCTTTAAGAATTATTTGCTCAAGTGGAATGTCAAAAGAGAGATTCAGGAATAAGAATGCCTCGCCCATGGCGACATGACACTACACAAGAAGTACCAAGCACCTATTGAAATCAGTTTATGGAGTCAAAGAAACAACAGGTGCACAACATTCTGCTTTAAGAAGTATAATTCACATTATGGCTGTAAAAAAACTGAGCACGCTCTTTGAAAGCAGTTGAAAGCAGTGAGAGAGGAATGAAATTTCCCAAATGAATTTGTCCTTCTTTGCCTGTTTGTAAACCAATGGTATATATTACAGCTGACAAGTCCTCCAAACGATGATGATGACACAATGCAAATTGGATTAGATGATGACAAGAGCCCCTTTCTAAGGTCTGCTGGGGGTAGATAAAATATAGTCAGGAGTCTGCAGCTCTGTCCCCAACTACATAGTTATGGGGTGTGCAGAAGACGTATCCTCAAAGAGGTCACTAAGTTTGGGCCTCAATGAGTGACCTATTCAACTGACTACAGTACTATGATAGTATATACCAGGGGTGTCAAACTCGCAACGTCACGTGACGTATCGTGATGTATCACAACTTTTTTTCCATTGCCGACAATGGGGTGGGCGCGATTTCGGCATGACTCATCCGGCCCATGGGCCGGCAGTTTGACACCCCTGGTATATACTGTAGTGTAGTATACGAGGAGACAATTGCTTCATTGTTCTTAATGTGTGCATGTATAAACAGATACACATGAAAGAGGAGGATTCTTGTGCTTTGAGAACCTGTGTTTGGTCTCAGGCCTGGGGTGGTGTTTTATTATTTGTTAGGGCCCCTGTTTCATTTTGTTTTATTTATAAAAAAAATTGTATAAAATTACTTTAGTATGGGCTGACTGATTTGAAGTTTTTATCTGTTTTTATGTTTTTGCTAGTTTTGTAGGCTACCCAGAGTCCTTTGCAGTTGAGCAGCGAAATGCAGATAAAGATAGAGAGACTAATGGACAAATAGATAGATATGCTGGGCTACACAAACAAAAATGATGCCAAACATCAAAGCAAAATATTAAGTTATTGATAGAAAAATTGCAAAAATGGTACACAGATAAAGGAGGAGGAGTCAGTCTTTATCAGGTGCACCAGAGGAAATATCCAATAGGTTTCTGTGAGACTCACACAACCACATTCCACACAACATATTGGTTATCACACCAGCAGGTGTGCTATCTGAGGAAAGGATTGTAGTATTTTCCAAGTATGAATTTGTGTGCTTTGTGGCAGGATTGTTGCATATGCTTTCTATACAAACGTTAACGCTGTATTAACTGTCAAAGCACAAAGTGTATAGTAAATGAGAAGAATGTGTGCAAGACATATGTAATAAGTATATAACAAGAGAGGGGAAAAATAAGTTTCCCATTCTGGCAATTGGACAGAATTCATTATTTCTCATCTTGACAGGTAACAACCTTGGATTATGATTTCCTGGTTATGATTCTCAGATGCTTCAACTTTATTAAAATAAGTAGCTGTTGGAAATTTGTTTACTTATACATGTATTTATATAACTAGCTCCAAATTTATATAATAAAAAATTAACCCATGCAATTACAAGCATTTCTGAATAGATTCCATAGTTAAAATTCCAAAATTAATGTGTTAAAATCTCAAATCCTTAGAAAAAGAGGAATTCCTTAGCACAGGACTGAAAAGATAAGTATATAGGTACAGTAGCAGTTAGCTGCATGCAGGAAAGGTCTCAATCAAAAAAAAAAAGAGGATGTATTCTAAATATGACTACGTTTGCCTCGATCCCTCGTTCAGAATCACCGAAGTAAATATTTAAAATATTGTTAAAATTGTTTGTACAGAGCTTAACATTTAAAAAAAAATCTTAAATGAGCCTATGTTCTTTCATAAACACAAGTGATTCTTGCATAACCAATTTTGTCTTTAAGTTATCACGAGTTCAAGACCAATGACTACTGGCTTCTATGTAGATCCATGGGAGAATTTCCTACTGATTTGTGGGAGTTATTATAAAACAAGGGTGGGGTCTCCAGATTTAGTTGAAGTTTGGTCCCAGTGTGTCCTTTTCCTTAGGGAAGCCATGGAATAAGTCCCAATAGTACTCCAATCAGGAAAGGGATGTTCTGCACAAATGATTCTGTAGAAGGTAAGGGATGTGCTTCTATATGACCACTTTGATGGTTCTTTCAGTGGGATAAATCTTCAGGAAAATATGGCAGTGGAGGGATAGGGAAGAACAGGAAGTTTTGAAAGAAGAGTCTCCCCACTTCACAGTGTCCAGATGTGCTGGCCAAACAAAGCTAGATTACGCTTTTGCATCAGGGATCTCATATTTTTCTATTTGTTCTATTCATGGGTTTTTTAAAAAAAAATATTCCAGAACTCTGGTCAAAGGCAAAGCGATAGTGGTAAAACAAACTGGGTGTGTTTGAGTGTTGCTGTTGTTTTTGTATTACTTTTGCTCTTAGTCTCTCAGGGTACCTGATCAAGTTCTCTGGAACCCTGGGGTTCTACAGAACACAGTTTGAAATGTCCAGGTTTAAACAATCTGATCAATAGTTTTTGTGCTATCTTGATCAGTAACCAATTTCAATATCTGATGAAGTGTTCCATAATTAATATGCAAAATGCCATAAAACTCTTTGTTGCTTTTTCTGGCAGGGAAAAAAAGAACTCTAACTTGGCTGCCATTCTAGAAACTTTAATTAAAAACAAATTCAGTGAAACAATTTTTATCCAATTCAGACATTTCCTGAAAATATGACATTAACAACTGAAACAGAAGCTT